GAGGAGAGGAGAGGAGAGGAGAGGAGAGGAGAGGAGAGGAGAGGAGAGGAGAGGAGAGAGGAGAGGAGAGGAGGGGAGAGGAGGGGAGAGGAGAGACCTGAACTTGCTGTATTGCTACACCATGCCACCTTTTTCTGGTCCTGCTTCCTTTGCACTACCAGGCTAACATCAGAGACTAGAAAATAAGTGAAATCTCTCCCTATCTAGTCAGCTGTGATAGTTTTCTAGTTTGGAAAAGAATATGGACACATTTTAGTGTATCTTTGCAGTAATATTTCTGTTGTTGGTATCCTTGTTTTTGAGTATGTGGACATGTGCACACATGCTATTTCCACCTATTCAAGAAGCACCCTGTCTTCACACCACTAATACAAAACTTCAGCATTGGCTGCATCTTAATTCATGACCTTATACTTTATGTATAAGAATGCCTCAAGGAAAGCCCACTCTTAATTTAGGCCCAATTTGTTCTTGGCTTCTGACTTCTCTGGGTGGATCTGGCACAGTCAAGGCCAAAATGGAACATCAATGAACAAGTGTGCTGGCGTCACTAAAAAATGAAAACAATTAGAAAATGACAATCAAAGGAAGGTGAAAGATCTAGTCCCAGGGCTTCCTGTTTCAGCTGAGAGTTTATTCAGATGGCCTCCAGATAGTCTAAGCCAGATAGAGGGCATACTGACTTACGATGATGTTTATTCTCTTGGCTTTCTTAACTGTCAAATGCAAGAGCAGTCTATCCTGGATGCATTTATGCTCTAACATTTCCACACTTCAGATCTAGGCTTTGATTTATGGTGCTGCCATGGGAGCAACATGGAATTAAGAAAGGGTCGAAGAAGTACAAATGAATGAGAAAAAGCAAGAAATTTCTGTTCTCTAACATCTTCCATCATGTAATTACATTGAGCATTATTTCTATAGCAATTCAATATACTTAGTATAAATATTTCCCGTACTGTAGTGTAAAGGGAGCATAGCATGCAGAAAATCAGTCCCAAGTCATGCTAAATCTTTCCTGGAAGAAGTGGTTAGCTAATTCAGGTACTAGCTATTTTTAATTAGACAATTAAGCTGTGAAAACAATATTTAATACAAGAGCAAGGACAAACTAGTGTATATGGGAACAAGAAGTCAAAGTAATTTAACCACATTAAATACCTGGTTAGCTTATCTTCACTGCACTTGAGTTAACAGCCTTTGGTATCTTCACAGTGAGAATCAAACTCTATTATCTCCACTGAAGGAAAACACAGGCTCCAGCACTGGGAGTTAAGGTGGTATCGAGAGGACAGATATTAGCCTAGGCAAAGCAAAAAAGAAGGGACAAGGCTTAAAGCCATAACAGCGTTAGTTAACAGTATACACACATTGGAGAGTTGACAGAATGTTTTCGCTGGCTTATTCCACTGCAGAGAAACTTGTGTGCAGGGTTTTCCCAGAAGTTGTTTGCATTTATCCCTGCTGTAGCCCTGCTGAAACCTGGGACTTGTACTAATAATTTGGGATTTCTAGCTCTAAAACCAAGTGTCTTAAGCAACACTAAGGAAACTTTTTCTTAAGTGCAGCATTTGTGGAACTACTAAGACAAATGCATCTCCTTTGCGACTTCAGAGAAGTTCATGAATTTGGTAAGTGCTAAAATTTGAACTAGTCAGAACTACTAGTATACACTTGAAGTCTGTTTCTATCTTATCCCCAGACATGTCCAGGAAGATCATATGTCAATATGTAAGAGCATTTTCAAAATATACTTAGTACAAGATTATTTTTAAATTTATCTTTTTTGTTCATTTATGTTGCACTAAGGTGTTTTATCCTAGGTTTTGCATTTAGCGCTTCTAAACCTAGGATCTGTCTCAAGTATTGTAACAATGGTATTAATCAATTGCTACAGCCACTTCCCTTCTTTTTTTGACACAGTTTATATTCTGAAAGCTCTTAAATCAGAGAACCCTGAAATTTACCTTGTATAATACACATTCACTACAGGTCACCAAAAGAACTTCCGTAAGGCCAGTTATTAGTAGCAATTTTAACACTGTTTGCTCACGTAATAAACTTCAAAATGGATGCTTAAGATCAGAACCTGAACTGCACATTTGACTGAACTGAAAGCAAGAGTGATGCACTAGTCCGGTCAGAGACTGAACAGCTTCAAAATCATTACAGATACACCAGTTGTTGTCTCTGGTAACGGTAATACTGACACTGCTATACATGTTGTGGGCTTGTACAGGAAGAATGTATATTAACAGAAGCACTAAGCTCTCCTGAGTTTTTAACTGTTGGCTAATTTCAACCTCAAATCATATGCAATCTACTGTCTAGTTACAATCTATCTGAAATCACACAACATATAAAATAGCCAAGGAAAGTTCTTAATGGCCTATAAGACACATAATGTGTCTACTATAAAACAGTGATGAAAATTAATCCTATGTGAGTCTACTTTTCAGGCACAAGTGATTCTGAGAGTCCCAGCTCAGAGTGCCTGTGCTCACAGGTACAGGGGTGATGGTAAAGAACCAGCACAGAGGGGCTCTGCCAAAATTGAAGTGTACTTCTCCTGTCTAGTGTAGGCTATCGGAAACCATAGTGAGTATACAACATTGCACTTCCTTAAAATGAGAATATGAACACTTTCATTATCAGAAAGGTAAACAGAGACTTGAGGGATTGCAACACGTGACAGCTGTCCTCCTCTCCTGAACTGCAAGCCTGGTGATAAACACGGAGAGGGGCTCTGGCCGTCAGGATGCTGCTACCACAGCCCAAGCTGCCGAGGTGTTCCTCTGCACCCTTAGTCTAATAGCTGGCAAATGGAAAGCATTAGAGCAAGCTTAATCTGCAATAATTATATATTACAAATGTATTTATTCTGTTTTGGGAGAAACTCCTTTAAGGCTCCAGATGAGACATTTCTCACATATATTATTTAGCCTTTCCTGGGGCCTTAATGAATTGCTTTAAATTAGACTTAGGTATTGATTCGCTGCATTCAGCTGAAATCTAGGCTTAGCAATCTATACTTGTCCATAGTATATTTGTGATATTATTCCAAATAAAGAGCTGCAATTAATCCACATCAAAAAAAAATCAATTAATACAGATTTGTATCACAAAGAAAGAAATCTTCCTCATATCTGCCTGCTAATCCTGAGGCTTAGGTCTTTCTTTGCTACCAAGGAGAACAGATAAAAAATATTGATTTTGCTCTATTTTTACAACTTACAATGATATAATAGTAGCATACAGAACAGATGGGGCTTATCAATTAAAACTATTTTTATATACAGTGATAGATGAGGACACACAATGTCTTTGTTCTCTGCATCATTAATAATTATTAATATGATGGACCAGTAGTTCTGCAATAAGAGTAATCACTCCATGCATAGATCTCAAAGAGCCTGACCACTCTCATATGGTTAAGAATTTTTTACCCTATGAATTACAATACAGTAAAGGTTCTAGAAGCAAAATTGCAGTGCATAGGAAAGGAGGACTGTTCCGTACAATTTTAGACTAATGGTATAAGGTGAAGAAACGAAAGATGTTATCCAAGCTAACATCTTTCTAATTTTATCCAGCTCTATCTGCCATTTTAACCAAGCTAATATCTAACCTAATTTATTAGAAATAAAAAAGTCTTATCAGAGTCCTTGCAGGAAGCATCACATAAACACCATGAATTAGATTTTGCAAGTTTAGAAGCCAAACTTTATCCTTGCTACAGAAAGAAGACAACAATGTGTCATTGTCCTTTCACAATTCCTACTGTAAACAGTTTATGTGATTTATTCTTTTGCATGCTAGATAATTACATATTTTATACCAGTGTATCATCAGTATGTTGTTATTCTGACTGCCCCATAATAGAAATCATGTATTTTCCCACTGCAGTGAATGCTATTCTTAACATACATTGGCCTCAACCAGCTAAAAATATCAGAGTTCTGTTGCCTGTGGGAAAGTTTTGCTGAAGTTATTTCTATCAAAAGTTTAATATTGGTCTCTTCCATTTTTCATACTGTATATGCCATTGACATTTAATGCTGTCTTCTCTGATATGCAATTACTTACAAGTACTTAAGCATCACATATGGCACTTATTAGGCAAATAACACCCTAATTCACTTACTGCTAACATTAATATGAATGATTAGGAATGAGATTAGTACTAAAGAATACCGTTTTAAAATAAATTGTGATGACACAGTGACAGCTATATGAAGGATTAAAGAGTATGGATTATTGCAGGTTATGGTTCAAGATATCAAATGATACGGCTCTGTGTTTGTTCTTGCCAAGGACACTAGGCAATTAGAGGCTCAAACAGCCAACTGTAATTTTTACACTGAATCACTGGGTAACTTGTGGGTTTTTTTAACTCTTAAGAGTTTCTGACAGACAGTAGGTTCTGAAAAAATTAAGGATCGACTTGCTGTGAGCTGTCTACATCCACAGAAAGCTTTTTGGCAGACATTTAACTTACCTGGCAACCTAGAGTCAGTGTGACTGCAAATACAAAGGAAAAGCTCCAGTTTTATAAACATTCTCTATTGAACCCAAATTCATATAGTCAATGAAGATGCCACTAAATTAATGACAGTATTTATTTTCTCTGTGGTTGCACCTTTAAATTTATCTCCTTGTAATAATATTTTGCTTTTATTTATCCTTTCTCCAGAAGATAGCAGAAGACTACCTTAATTCATGCAATTAAACCAATAACATCCATGTTATATAGCTCTACCTACACTGTCTGATCCCCATTTATCTGAAGTTTCTATACAATACTTTGATATTTTAGTTTATAATTCAATAGTGCTTCATTCAAGGCAGTGAGCAAGGAGTTGAGAAATATTAATTGTTTAGATCATCAGATTTTGGGAAGGACCAAAGAATAAAGATACTATCATCTTTTGGCTCACCCATCTCCCTTTTAACACAAAGGAGAAAAATATTTTAGCTCCTGAAGATCTGACCAAGTGGTAATACCTCCAGCCTCACTGAAGTTAGCAAGCGAAGGAATATTGGTTATCTACATACCATAATTGTTAGCATGAATAAGTGATGGTACAGTTAAGAAAAGGCAAAAGAGCAATAAAATGGTCTTCTCTTGGTTGGCTGCCTGCATTGGTATGTAAATACCAGTCTCACCTTTGATATTCCACATAAGCTCAAGAATGGCATCCTCTGGATGCAATAGCCTTTTGGTTATTCATTACAAATGGTGATCTCCAGGGCTCATGGAGGTTTTGCTAATTATTTCCAGTAAGAATCATGATATCAGGATCTAAAAGTACTGTAATAAAACCTCCTCTCACCATGCTGTTGACGGAATGACAGTTACTTAAAAATTAGAAGTATTGAGGTAATAAATATGGTATATACATGTAAAATATTCTGTTTGCTCATCAGTTGTCCATGGGACATCGGCAAGTGTTTCATAGGCAACTAGGTTTTGTGGTACACCATTTTTTAATAAAATAATAGATGTATTAGTGTTGCATCAAAACAGGAAACAAAAAAAGTGAGCACTGGCATCATTCCATCATGGTACAGATTGCCACATTGTTTCTCACTACTGAGCTCCTATTGGTTTAGATCAAAGATGATATGTTTAATTTTACAGATTTGTGCATTTGGTCCATCCAAGAAAAAAATAACAAAGGAGACTTCAGCTTAAGTTACAGCCTGTCACTCTGAGATGAGCTGCTGTAGGTGCAGAGAAAGCCCTGAGTTAGGATCTTGGCTGTGCAATGCAAGGCATAAGGAAATACATGTTTAATGATACATGTTAGGACATACGAAGTTCAGCATATTGAGTATGAAGCCATTACATATAGTCGGGTTTTGAGAATAGAATATTAGACATAAGTGCATGTACATTTATGCCATAGTTCTATTGCCAATATAACCTTATCTATAGCGTTTCCTCAATAGACTCATACTGGAACATATATTTCAGAATATCTATTCTTTGATTTGAAAATTTGCAGCAATACAGAACCCACCTTACTCTCCAGTATGTTTTCCAGGGAAATGCAGAAGTGGTGTATCTTTCACATCCCTGTTTGACAGCTTCCTTTTCATATCATCAGAGATAGCATTTGCCACTTAGTGTTTCTAGAAGCTTGTACCCGGTCGCTATCTATTACATGCACTGGCACTTCGGAAAACCACTGAGCTCCTTTAAAATTCTTGGGTACAGATATGTGGATACCTTGATCTTAACTCTGATTTCAGTAGTTTGTGTTTAATAAGTTC